CACATGAAGGGGCAGGTGGAGAATAATACAGCCAGACCCTCTGAGGGTATGGCTCAATTACTAGACAGGGCAGGGCAGCAGGGCCAGAGGAGGCTACAGAAAGGTTCAGTGCTTCCATGGCCCTGTGGCCCTGGCATCCACCCATCCATTCCAAATCAAAGTAAAATGAGATTCCATGTCACTACAGTTAGAATAGCCATTATGAAAATACTGAGAATATTCACTGATGCAGATGATGAGAAAGGGGAATGGAGCTTCAGCTACTGTTGGAAAGGGCACAAATTAACAAATAACAAATACAACCTGGAAAACAATGTGATGTCGTCAAAAATTAAAACCACAATTACCTTAATCCAACCATACCACTCCTGGATATATACCTGCAGGAGATGAAATTGGCATGTGAAAGATACATTGGCCCAGCCATGTTTACTGCAGCGCTATACACAGTAGCTGTCTTAGTCACTGTTCTATTGATGTGAAGAGACACCGTGACCAAGGCAACTTAACACTAAAAAGCCTTTAATTGGGTGCTTGCTTGCAGTTTCAGAGGGTTAATCCATGATGGTCATGGTGAGAAGCATGTCAGCAGGCAGGCAAGCATAACCAATATGAACTTTGATTTTTCTCCCCTGCAGACTTCTTTTGTTTACTTCATAGAAAGTTAATCACTACTCCTTGGAAGTAAAAATTAACTCAAACTGAGTGTAATTTTGCCAACATTATATTCTTTAATGTTTTTAAAAAAATTCATATGCATATGAGTGTTTTACCTACATCTATGTCTGTGCAACACTTTCATGCAGTGCCTTTGGAGACCTAAAGAAGGCATGGGAACCCCTGGAACTGGAGTTACAGACAGTTGTGAGCCACCATATGGATGCTGGGAATTGAACCCAAGTCCTCTGGAAAAGCAGCCAGTGTTCTTAACTTCTGAGCCATTTCTTATCCCCCAACACTATGTTCTTTTGTTTTTGTTTTTTGAGACAAGGTTTCTCTCTACATAGCCCTGGATGTTTTGAAACTTATTATGTAAACTGGGCTGACCTCACATATATGGATCTCAGCCTCCTGATAATGGAATTTAAAGGCATGTGCCCACTATGCCAAGTGTATTGGCTAATTTTATGCCAACTTGACACAAGCTATAGCCATCTGAGAGGAGGGAACCTCAATTAAGATAAGATTTGCTGTAGCCTGTAAGGCATTTTCTTATTTAGTGGTTATTGGAGGGGGTCCAGTTGATTGTGGGTTGTACCATCCCTGGGCTGGTGGGCCTTCATTCTATAAGAAAGCAGACTGAGCAAGCCATGGGGAACAAGCCAGTAAGCAGCATCCTTTCAAGGACTGTGCCAGCTCTTGCTTCCAGGTTCCTGCTCTGTTTGAGTTTCTGCCCTGACTTCGATGATAAAAGATGAAATGGAATAATAAGCCAAAGAAACCCTAACCTCCCCATTTTGCTCCCCATGGTGTTTCATCCAGGAGTAATCCTCTATAAGACAACTGGCTTTTCTTTTTTGATGAGTCTTTTGAATATGCCAATTTTATATGAGTTTCTCTTTACATCATTCCCAACAGTTTTGGGCCTTGTAGAACTCCAGTGTAAGATTAGGATTAGTCAATTATATTCAACCATCAAATAATCATGGGATCTGAGAAATTTCAAAATGCACCAAATTGTAGGCCGTAGTTTCCAGGAAATTTCAGTTCATGCAGACAAAAGAGAAATGTTAAGGATGTGAAAAAATGCTAGGGATGTAAAGGTGAGAACCCAAAGCTAGAGGACTATCATTTTTCAAAACTCACCTAAAAAGCAATAGAAGGGTTTCTTACAGGAGAGGCTAATCACAAAGGAACTATAGTAAAGGTTAAGATGCTGAAGAATAACAGCTCACAGTGAAAATAAACACCCAACGAGGTAGACCATGTGACTCAGAGGGACTTGCCAATAGGATGGCTCAGAGGAGCATGGGAAAGGTAGGGTTGCTGTAGATACATATGTGGATGAAGCCAGGCTGGGTTCAGTTCTTAGAGAACAGATTCTCTGACACTGGCTCTGCAGTGTGGTGTGAGTGAAGACATGAATGTGGGAATGGCTTTAGTGTAAATGACAAGGGGAAGAATCATAAAAATCACAGCGGTCCACCTGCCTCTACCTCCTTAGTGCTGGGATTAAAGGTGTGCACCTCTATGCCCAGCTTAACTTTATATTTTTAAAGGCATTTACAAGTAATTGTTTGTGGGTCTCAGTCTGTGAATGAGCATCAAGTCATAGAGAGTTATGTACATTAATAACAACACTGTATGTTTTGTTATTTCCTAAGAGGTTCAGTCTTACACTACGTCTGGAACATAATGTTGAAAACTTGACATGATACTGGCACATTAGGCTTGTCTGAAATTCTCACAGCCATGCATTGAAGTTTGAGGCAGGAGTTCTTGTCTACAAGTACTAATTGGGCACACTGTTGGAGTTTACTCCAAAATGTGTAGCCATGCCCATCCAAACTTCCTTTGTCTGCCTTTATGAAGAAGTGTTGGATGCATTAGGCCATGTGGTGGTTTGAATGAGAAAGAATGGCCTCCCTAAGCTTATGTTTGAATGCTTGGTCCCGTTTGTGAAACTGTCTGAAAAAGGTTAGGTGGTATGGCCTCGTTGGAGGATTGTGGCCTTGTTGAAGGAGGTATGTCAGTAGGGGTGGGCTTTGAGGTTTCAGAAGCCCATACCTTTCCTAGTTAACTCATTCTCTCTGTCTCTCAAGATGTAGGCTCTCAGCTACTGCTCCAGTACCACGCCTTCCTGCCTGCTGCCATACTCCCCAACATGATGGCCACGGACTAAAGCTCTGAAACTGTAAGCAAGCCTCCAACTAAATTCTTTCTTCTTTAAGTTGCCTTGGCTGTGGTGTCTCTTCACAGCAATAGAAAAGTAACTAAGACAGGCCAAATACTTTTTTGTTTAGATCCTGTCATTTTTTTATCATTTGTATTTGCATTAGAAACAAGATTGATTTACATGACAATCCCAGTTCCCTTCTCACTCCCGTCCTCCCCTACCACCCCCCAACTAAAACCCTACCTATCGCATCCCCTTTCTGCTATTCTTCCCCTGACTCAACTTTTCTGCTCCCTCATGACCTCTGCATCCTTCCTCTTCTTCCCTTCTCATTCTCGTAACTCCCTCCGCCTTCTTCCCATGCTCTCAATTTGCTCAGGGAGATCCTGTCATTTTTATAACAGAACTTTAAATTACTCCCTCTTGATACATAAATCATATAAATTTTTAGTATCTCAACTTTTCTATCCTCACATGTTGGCCAGTGATGTTGATTTTGAGCTCACTATCATGGTGTAGCTGTCCGCAGCCTAACCATGAGAAGTGTTTTTGAAGGCTGTAAAAGATGTTATACAAAAGTTCTGTTGCTACAAATCAGAGATGCTGGGTAGGTTGCTTCATGCAACTGCTCAGCCATCCAGTCCCCAGGAGACATTGTTAATCAGTCACAGAACTTTTTCCTTCTGAGACTAGACTCACAGAATTTTACAGCACAATTTATACAGGCAGCTACTCTAAACAGATCAAAGTTGAAATGTGAATTGAAACCCAGTTGTCATCTGAGGGGACAATAATCTGAAAGCAAGCATGGAACTGTGTGCTCTACTTAATTAGGCAGGAACATTTTTGGATCGTACATAGGGTTGACTTAATGTAGTGTACTTTGCGATTGTAACAATAGCGCACTTTGAAGGAACCTGTGTGCACTTTTTTTGAGAGTTGGCTCTGTGGGTTCCAGGGATCAATCTTATATCCTCAGGCTTGCAAGCACTTTTACTCAATGAGCCATTGTGTCAGTCTTGTGATTCTTTAGGCTACATATTTTCTGCTTAATGCACAATATCCTCATTAGAGTTTGAGATTTTTCTTTGAACTAAAGATTAAGAAGCACATACTTCCCCAAATCAACTAAACAAATTGCATTGGGTACTTTTACTGTCTTTGTTACCACAGTATCTGACAGAAACAGCTTAAGAGAAGAAAGGTTTATTCTCACCCCCAGTTTCAGAGAGTTTAATCCTTCATGGCAGGAAGAGTGTGGCAAAGCAAAACACTTCACGACATGGTAGCCAAGAAACAGATAGATGAGGAGTTCCATTTGTTCCAATTTCTTCTCTGTTACTGTGGTAAAATACACTGACCAAAACCAACTTAGAAGGGGAAAGGACTGATTTGGTTTATACTTGCAGGTCACAGTCCATCACTGAAGGAATTCAAGCAGGAACTTGAAGTCAGGTCTACTCGCTATTCCATACAGCATTACCTTCAACCAAGGGACTAATTCACAGCCAAGGAAGTACAGTGGAAACCATGGAAGAACATTGTTTGCTGGCTCAGTCACAGACACATGCTTAGTTGGCTTTCTGTTTAGGGAATGGTGCAGCCCATAATAAGCTTGGCCCTACATCAACTAACAATCAAGACAGTTCCTCCCAGACATATTTGAAACAATTGCTTATATTGTTCTATTATTAAATAAAACCCAGGAGTCAGATATCAGGATAAAAACCAGATTGATTAGAAAAGGGGCAGAGAAGTAACCAGCGACCTCCTCTCTCTCTCTCTCTCTCTCTCTCTCTCTCTCTCTCTCTCTCTCTCTTTCTCTCCTTCCTTCATCCAAAAGGGCCTGAGAATCTTTCTAAGCCCCTCCCTACTAGTTCCTGTGTCACTCCATGTGTCCTGGGTCCTCCAAAACCTCTATAGCTACTTCTGGTCAGCTAGTAGCTATCTCTGCCCTCTGATTCAAGGTAAACCTTATTGGCAGTCTCAGGAGTATCAGAATGTGATCAAAATATCTCATAACACATATTCACAGGCCAACATGATCTGGGCAATCCCTTAACCGAGACTCCCTTAGGTGAGTCCAGGCTGTATCAAACTGACACTTAAAACTAACTAGGCCACCAGTGCTTGGCTTGCTTTCTCCTTTGCTCTTTTTATCCAGTGTGAATCACCTGCTCTTGGTACAGTGCTGTATGTATGCAGGGTGGGTCTGTCCAAGCTTCTCTGGAAACATACTCTTGGACACCTCCACAGGTATGCTTTACCATCTTCTAAGTGATTTTAAATCCAGTCAAGTTGACAATGAAAATGAACCATACAAAGAAACCAAGCTGTGGTTTTCATTTTATGAACACTGGAGGAAATCTTAAACTTGTCATAACTCTCTTGGTAGGAGCACATGGGATGTAGAGTCAACCCACCAGTTCAATCTTAATAATTTTTCCTTTGTGTTCAGAAGTCTGAATTTACTTTTTAATCTTGTTACTGACTACAATGTTTCCTAATTTTAATTTATCTGATCTTATTATACATATATGGATGTTTTGCCTGCATGTATGTCTGTGTACCATGTTTGGGCCTGGTACTTGAGAAAGCCAGATGAGAACACTGGCTCTCCTGGAATTGGAGTTACATATGGTTGTGAACCACCACGTGGGTGCTAATAACCAAACCTGAGTTCTCTGTAAGAGTAGAAAGTACTCTTGACTGATTAGCCATCTCTCCAGCCCCCAGAATAGTTTTTGACCAAATATCTGGATATCGTGTTTCAGCCAAGTTAATGAAGTTATAACCATTACATGTGAAATGTCACAAAATAAATTTGCCTCTATTACAGTTCTTCCCATGATCTTCTCTTCTCCCCAGAACAAAGCCTCTGTCTCTCTCTCACAACTGTCTGCTCTCTTGCTCTCTGCCACAATTTCCCATTACCTGCCACCCTCCCCACCCCTTTTGGGAGACAAGGTCTCACTGTGTAGTCCTCCCTTAGCCTGAAATTCGCTCTATAGACTAGGCTGGCCTCAAACTTGCAGAGACCTACATGCTTCTGCTGGAATTAAAGGTATATGCCATCACACCAGGCTTCATTTTCTTTTTATTCCCCATTTATTTTTTCTCCCATAAGTCCTCATTTACTTATAACATTCTTTGTTCTCACTGTTTTCTTATTATCCACTCTTATTCAGTTTCCCACTCTAACACATAATCCCTTATGTTCTTCAGTTCTTTCTCTTACACAATTGCAATTGAAACATGTTACAAATGAGGAAGGGTTCTCAGGGCCAGAATAAGGTTAATCAAATGTTCTCTTGTGATGTGTTCTTTCAAGGACAACATTTTGTCTGTTCTCACCATCTTTAAGCCAGAAATGGAATAGGAGTCAAGAAAGAACTGATATGCAATCATTATGTCTTTATTATTAGGATATGAAGAAGTACAGCCATCTAGCAAATCACACAGCTATGAGAGCAGAAATTGTGTTTTTGCATGCATTTGAAAAGGTAGGTACCCATTAAAGATTTACAGAGCATTTGTTGCATGAACTACTATAAAATGTCTTTCTGTAGGCTGGAGAGATGGCCCAGTAGTTTAAGCACCAGCTGTTCTTCTAGAGGTCCTGAGTTCAATTCCTAGCAACCACAGGGTGGCTCACAAACATCTGTAGTGGAACTTGATGCACTCTTCTGACATAAAGGCGTACATGCAGATAGAGCACTCATATACATAAAATAAATAAATAAATCTTTAAAAAATTTAAAACGTCTTTCTGTGTTTGCCACCCAGTAATATTCCTGCTACTGGGATTGAGAAGACCTGTGAGATTTAATGCATGTTACTGTCTATTCACTTTATGTTAAACTACCTAAAATGTGATTTGAGATACATACATGCTTGTACTATGAACAGTAAGCAATAGGAGATGTTGGGTTTTATCACCTACTACTCATTTATAAGCAAAGACAGTTGCTTTAAGAAGTAATTATAAGCTGGGCAGCAGTGGCACGTGCCTTTAATCCAAGCACTCAGGAGGCAGAGGCAGAGATGTCTCAGAGGTAAAGATTACTTTGTGGTCTTGCAGAAACCAGGGTTCGGTTCCCAGCACCCACATGGCAGCTCACAACCAGCCATAGTTCCAGATCCAGAGGATCCAATGCTTTCTTCTGACCTCCATGGGAACTAGGTATGCTTGTGGTGGTCATATATTCATTTAGGCAAAGCATTCATACACATGAAAAATAAATTTTTAATCTTTAGAAAACTGTAAGGAAAGAAATGTGCATTCATGGGAAAGAAGAGGAAGGAGGACAAGTTACTATTAAATCCTCTTCACCTATCAGCTTCTTGCTACATCTTCCCTTTTGAATTTTATTTTATTTGGGGGGGTGGTCACATCTCAACTGGAGCTGGGGCAACATCAAACTATACGAACCTTGAGGTTTGTCTTATTTGCCAGAGGAGCATCTACACCAAGTATGATTTGAATGAGTGAGTCAGGGATGTAAATACAAGGGCAGCGAGCTGGTTGTAACTTCTCCACATTTTTCTTGGGCTGGAAGGAGGAAAGATAACTGAGTGTTACTTTCACAACCAATTTCAGTTAGATTAATGTCAAGACCCTCAGTCCTTGCATAGCAAGAGGGCACTGGTTGCCTAAGAAAAATCATCTGTAAGAGACTACAGGAAACAGAGGAGCATGCTTATTTGGTACCTTTGCCTTGCATTTAAAATCAGACAAGGCCAGAGGGCTAGAGGCACAATTTCACAGTTGCGGTTTAAAGGATATGAAAACTGGTTGAAAGGAACATGAACCCACAGTTCAAGTTCACAGGATGTTTAGAAACATGGATAAATTGAGCTGAAAGGTAGCTGGAAAGAACAAGTCCAACGTTTCGACCTTAGCATGTCAAAATCATGGTATTCAGAGATGGACGAAACTTGAGGAAAGCCACTTTTTGAACTTAGAGGCTTTTAGACCAGCAGTCTGATTTTATCCAATAAATATTCCTTTTATCCCCAAAACATTGCCTGTGGCGGGCAAAGAGAGGGAAGCAGTGTGTGTGTGTGTGTGTGTGTGTGTGTGTGTGTGTGTGTGTGTGTGTGTGTGTGTCGGGTTTAGGGGCGTGGCTTATGTAGGAGGGATGTGTCAGAGCAGAGAGCAGAGGCGCTCCAGGTCTAATGGGGCGTGACTAGGGCGGTCCCTGAGTCTGTTGCAGTGCTGGGAGGACTGGGGGCGTGGCACGGCCGCCAGAGGGCGAGGCTTTGATGAACACTCCCCAGTCGCAGGTCCTGAGAAACTAACTTGCGAGTGGCACTTGTTGAGTGCTGTTGGAGAATCGTCCAGGTAAGGATGGGCAGCCGAATGGAGTGGGAGCCTCAGGGAGGATGCACAGACCCAGAGAGGGCCGCAACCCTTCCCATGACCCTCCTCCGAACCGATCCGGGGCTCTGGGCAGTGACAGCTGTTGATTCTGTTGCTTAAGTTCCCATGGGCGTCGTTGTCTCTGCTTCAGTCCCCCTTTCTCCACGATTGGGAGTTACCAGACTCGTAGTTCTTTTGCAGTTGAGAGAATTTGAGAGAGCACGGAAGGAGCAGCCTCTTGTGAGGGCATGTCGCCAGAGTAGGTTGAATCTAAGTTAGAAAGTCCAGCCTGCTAATAAACAGCTGGAGACAAGGATAAAAGCTACCTATTCTGAGACTTCCTTCAGAAACTGAGGTGCAAGGCTCTGCTGTGGTGTTTCTTCTTCATCCCCCACCCCCACTAAGCCAGGGGCACGGGACAGGCTCACAGCTATCCCTAGGCTGTGGAGTACTGTCACAGCTGTGCTTGCAAAAATCAAAACGTTTTCACTCTGAAATTACTCCTGCCCTTAACTTTTTGTGCCCGGCCCAAGACCTAGAGGAGAGGTACCTCCAAAATACAGAATGGTTGATGGCTGCCATTCTCTGCAACATTCCTTTTAATTAAGTATTTCTGTCCTGAGAAAGCTTGTGGCAACTTGTTAATATTAATGTCAGTGCCCTCCCTTTCCATGTACTTTCCCTGGGAAGGTTCAAAAAACATTAAGAACTAATGGGCACACCTCAGTTCGGAGAACCCTTGTGCCTTCTCAGCCATGGAAAACCGCTTAGTTTTCTGCTTCCTGGTCTCCCTTTATTGATACTCTGGTGTCTTCTATACGTGCTGCTGTTTAAAAGCTGGGCTGGATTATGGAGTAACCCCATTTTTCTTGTGAGTGAAACTGCCACGGATCCCTTAGCAGGGCCTGCACATTGCTCAGAGTAGGTGGTGTTTGTTCACTGGCATATTGGAAGTAGAAAACCCGTGCACTTCTTAGGAGTTTCTTCCTTAATTCAAAACCTTTAAAATCAAGCTAGAATTCCTTGAAGGCCAAAGCAGCCAGGGTACCATTCTCAGATGGGAGTCATGCTCCCAGGGAAGAAGTGGGTGAGAGGAGGAAGCTAAGCTTTCTCCATCAAGATTTGGCAAGATAATCTCTAATTCAGATTTGAGGAGTTGCAAAAGGCCTGCTTCCTTTTGAAATCAAGAGTCAATCTGATGAGAAACAAACCATTTCTTTCTATGTGATTGTAACCTTTATTCAGAGTACATTTTCTTTCTGCTGCCTGTTTTGTAGAGAGAAAGTTTAATCAGGCAGAGTTCAAACTAATCACAGTAACTACACAATTGATGAATGATTCTTTAATAGCTTTTTACATTTTCTCCTCACGTTTCTAAGTCTGCAAAACAGCAGACATGTCAATAAAAATCCAAGGATCTACATATGTAATTAGTGATAGCAAAGGGCACATATGTAGAAAGCTTAGCTTCCCTATGACACATTGATGCATCTCTATGAGCAAATGTAAACAGGTAAGTTTTTCATGAACTGCAGTCATATGTAATGGTAGAACATTGAGATGTGCTGTGTTTGATAGTTAAGAGCCATTTATTGTTTAACAAGACTGGACAATATGAGTTCAGTAAGTTATAAATAACCAACTCTCAAGAAATTGTTACTTCCAGTTTAACAGAAAGGATCAACCCTAGACCTGAACATTAAAAAACCCAAGTATTGTTATAGATACTGCAGGCTAGCATTTCTTAAGTGGGTTTCTAATTATTCAGATTTTCTTGGAGCTCTCTTCACCCCTGACCATCCATGTTCAGTTTCTTTCTGGACTTATTGTCCCTTTGTGGTCAGTTGCACTTTAATTGTCTTTCTGCACCTGTAACTCTTGGAGGGGGCTGATTTTCCTTTTTGTCTAGCTTTATACCCACTCCTGCACACCAGAACAGCACTGCAGACTATCCCAGATCTTTCCTCTTGATTCTCCCATTGGAATCTCCAATCAAGTACAGTAGATGGCGAGACCACCATGTTTTCCTGTTCCTCATGCCAGGGTTTGTTTCTCTGTTTTCTTATTCTACCTGCTGTGCAATAACTATGCCTTCTTCTATTTTTTCATTCAGTATAAACCCTGCTGCCTTTTTCAATATCAAAATGGCATTCTACCATTGAGCTATATTCTCAGACCTCTCAGGGCCATTTCGTTGCTGCTTTTTGTTTGAATTTTTTTGTTTGTTTATTTTAGCTCTGACTGGCCTGGCATTTGCTATGTAGCCCAAGCTGACGACAAAGTCATCGTGGTCCTCCTGCCTCAACTTCTCAAATTCTGGGATTATAGATATGTACCAAACCCAACTTCAAGGGATTTTTTAATAGGTAACACTGAGTGATTTGCATAAATATAAGTCAGATTGCTACTTCTTTAGTCAAAAATCCCTATTTTTGCCCTCATTTCACTGAGAACACTGTTTGAAACCTGGGACAACCTTTTCCACCAGGCAACATCTGACACTGTTTAGAGACCTTTTGTTTTTCCAGCTCTGGTGTAGGTGCTATTAGCTTCTACTGGAGCCTAGACAGTAGGGATTATGGTAAATACCCTACAATGCACAGGACAGTCTCTTGAAACCAAGAGTCTTCTAGTTAACAATGCCAAGGTTGAGAAACTGTGATGTAGAGAAATAGAAGTCTATAGTATATGACATCCATTGCCTTGGATCTCATCTTCTCCTTGTTTTATCCTGGTCACTTTGCTTTGGCCATCTTAGCCTCCTAACTACCCCTTTGATATGCCAGTTAACTTCTACTTTGGGTCTTTGCACAAACATTTTGCCTTACCTAGAATGTCTTTTATTTAGATAGCTATTTAACAAATTATCTACCCCTTTCAGTCCTTAGCTCAAATATCACCTTGTCAATGAGGCTGCATGTAACTCTCCCACCCCAGTGGTGCTCCAGATTCACTATATCCTGATCTATATAGCATTGAATATACTTGAATCACCTCTACAACTGACTTACAACACTACTTGCCTACTATCTATGTCTCCCTTGTAAAACATAAGCTTCACAAGGGTAGGAACTAACTTTGCTTTGTTCCCCTGAGCCTAGAAGAGTGCCTGGCCTTCAATAGGTGTTCAATTGCCATCTT